AGGGGACGAGCAGAGAGCCTGGGGAGCGCCGCCGCTGCGGGAGGTCTCGCCTAGCAGTAGCAAACCCTGTCAGCTGCGCTGTTAACTGCTGGTGGGGCTGGAGGAAGGGTAATACAGTCATCCGAACAACTTAAAAAATACTGCTTGTGAAAGTACCCCAGTACAGCTGATAGATGTGTGAGACACCCGTGAAGAACTAACGGTGACCTACCTACTAGCTGTGCACACCTGATCTGCGGGTCGGAAGCTCTGTTCTGAAGACGTGCCGTGAGTGGAGCGGAGGAAGCTGCGCTCGTTAGACCGCAGGCCCACAGCAAGGCTGGGAGGTGTAACCGTGTTGGGTATGTGCCGCAGGAGTGGGAACTGCCAGGTGGGGTGATTTGGCCATGACTAGCTGGCAAAAGCCAACCAATTAGTAGATGCTTATGTTAACTAAGGGGTGTTGTTTAATGTTATAATTTCCTACAAGAAACTATTTCCTAAGGAGACTGAGAGGTTTAAGTAAAAAATTTGCAGTGGCACCTTGTAAAAGATAATTCAGTCTGGATTTTTTTGTGTCACATAGACACAGCTCTCTCCAGTTGAACGAAAACACCCAAACAAAACCCAAGAAGAATGGGCTTTATGGGCTCATGAAAGGCAGGTCCTGCTTGACCAACCTGATCTCCTTCTGTGACCAGGTGACCCACATAGTGGATGAGGGAAAGGCTGTGGATGGACTTCAGTAAAGCCTTTTGACACTGTCTTCCACAGCATTCTCCTAGAGAAACTGGCGGCTTATGGCTTAGGTGCACTCTTTGCTGACTAAAAAAACTGGCTGGATGGCCGAGCCAGTTGTGGTGAATGGAGTTAAATCCAGTTGGCAGCTGGTCACAAGCGGTGTTCCCCAGGGCTCAGTTTTGGGGCCAGTCTTGTTTAATATCTTTATCAATGATCTGGATGAGGGGATTGAGTGCACCCTCAGTAGGTTTGCAGATGACACCAAATTCGGTGGGAGTGTTGATCTGCTTGAGGGTAGGAAGGCTCTGCAGAGGGATCTGGACAGGCTGGATCGATGGCTGAGGCCAACTGTATGAAGTTTAACGAGGCCAAGTGCTGGGTCCTGCACTTTGGTCACAACAACCCCAAGCAATGCTACAGGCTTGGGGCAGAGTGGCTGGAAAGCTGCCTGGAGGAAAAGGACCTGGGGGTGCTGGTTGACAGCTGGCTGAACATGAGTCAGCAGTGTGCCCAGGTGGCCAAGGAGGCCAATAACATCCTGGTTTCTATCAGGAGTAGTGTGGCCAGCAGGCCTAGGGAAGTAATTGTGCCCCTTTTTACTTGGCTCTGGTGAGGCTGCACCTCGAGTACTGTGTTTGGTTTTGGGCCCCTCGCTACAAAAAGGATGTTGAGGTGCTGGAGTGTGTCCAGAGAACAGCAGCAAAGCTGGTAAAGGGTCTGGAAGATAAGTCTTAGGAGGAGTGGCTGAGGGAACTGGGGTTGTTTAGCCTGAGAAGAGGGGGCTGAGGGGAGATCTTACTGCTCTCTACAACTACCTGAAAGGAGGTTGTAGCCAGGTGGGTGTTGGTCTCTTCTCCCAAGTAACAAGCAATAGGACAAGAGGCCTCAAGTTGTGCCAGGGGAGGTTGAGATTGGATGTTAGGAAAAATTTCTTCACCGAAAGAGTGGTCAGGCATTGGAACAGGCTGTCCAGAGAGGTGGTGGAGTCACCATCTCTGGAAGTGTTCAAAAAATGTGTAGATGTGGCACTTTGGGACATGGTTTAGTAAGCATGGTGGTATTGGGTTGACAGTTGGACTTGATGATCTTAGAGGTATTTTCCAACCTTAATGATTCTATGAAATTCTAAGAACAGTAGGAAACCTGCCTCCTAAAATGGGGTAAATTAGTTAAAAGGTAGTTTGAAAGAAAGAACTCTTCTGTGATAGCACTTTGTATTTGAGTTCACTACCTTTTCTACCTGTAATAAAAAGACTAATTTTATTGGAAGAAAAGTGATTTGTACAGCAAATAGGCTATACATTTGAGTGATGATCTTATGGAGAAAGAACTTGTTTCAAACTTGTTTCAAGAGTTGCTTATAAAAGACATGTTCTAAACCCCATTATGGACCTTAAGGAATTGACTTTATAAAAGGCAAGAACTGTAAGACATGGTAATTTGGAAGCTGCATTTAAAAAGTACTTTTAGAGTATCATTATCATCATAAAAATACAGCAAGGTACAGATTGTTAGTACTGACAAAAATAAATACAAAACCTATTAGGAAGCACTGCTTTAAGTCTGACTCTTGAGGGATCTTCTGTATCAAATATAAATGTGTTCTTCCTCACCAGAACAGAAAAGGGTTTACTGTACTTGAAACATAATTTTTTTTTCTAAAATTGATGGAAAAGTAGCCTTGTGACAAGCCAAATATAATTTACTTATTACTTTGCAACTACAGTAAAATGTTCAGAAACTATACAAAGACTTAAGACAGTAAACATATATTTAATAAAACTGTGGTTCAGTTACACTGGATCCTTGAAGGAGTTCCCAGTACAACTTCATTAATCGGCTTATATCGCAGAACAGTTTCCAGTTAGCCATGCACATTCACAGCATTCAAACTCATTTGGTCCACCATTGAACTCTTCTTTCCTTTCATCTTGCAAATGTGTATGGTCTTTTGCCTGCCTCTTCAGCAGGTGTTTACCTAAAAGATAAAGTAATCACAGCACACTTAAAGACAACAAGGCCTTTTTTTTTTTTGCAAGACAAAATTTTGTAAGTAACAATTTAAATTTTGTTTTTAATTTAGCTAAATGACATATGCTTGCAAACTTATGTTGGTGAGCAGATTACACATTGCTATTATTACCCAAAAGCCCTCCCTGCAGCTTTTGTGGCCTCATGGCTGGTCAAAAAGAAAAAAAAAATCCCAGTGAAAAAAATCATGGGAAGAAGCTTATCCTTTTTCTAGGGAACTGAAATACTGGTGTGTATGTGCTTTTTGTAATATGAACTTGTAGGAAAAAGTTGTACAGGTATTAACCACCTGCATGTGTGGGTTTTTCCTTGTAACTTTTGTTATGCTAACAATGGGGAGTTGATGAAATGAAATAGACTTAAGTAAACAATCCTTTTTGTTAGAGTAAATTAAACCATACTATATATACATTCAGTGTTAGAAGAAACTCCCACCAGCCAAACTAATTGTTTCATTCATTAAAGATGAGGCAGCTGTAAGAAACTTAAAGACCAAGGCTTTTTAAATAACTTTTGCCCCCCTTTTTAAGCAATTCTGATTTTTTTTATGCTGTACTAGAATTCAAGATTTGCATAGCTATATCACTGTAACAGGAAAAAGATTTTTACTTATAGTCTTTTAACAACTTTATTAATTTTCCTTTCTATTAACAAGTATGTACTTCAAACAAAAACTCATGTCACATGATAAATATTAGAAATGCAAACAAAGTTTCAGTCACTACTTATCTGGACTTCAAATTAGCAGCCAAAAATGATGAAGAGTTCTAAATAGCTTTTTATCACTCTAAATAGTTTATCAGCTGTGTTCAAAAATCTTTGCTATGCTTTGTATATCCACTTCTATGTGAACTCACCACTTCTGAGCCAAAACTTTAACACCCACCCCCCACCCCCTCACACTTTATTGAAAGTATCTAACCACTTTGATTCTCTTCCTGTTTTGGTAACTTTTGCAAAAGGAGGACAAAACACTCCATTCTACCTTAACCTTCAATGATCTTGTTTTGTTTTGTTTTTTTTTCTAAAGTTCAAAGCAGGATACAGCAGATTTGGAATTACCTTCCTCATCCACCTCCAGCCATTGGTGGTGGACTGGGGCCTCCACCCCAGTGATTTATTCGACCCATTCTACGGCGAGGAAGTGCCGGAGGCCTGACAAAGCAAGAAAAACATCTATTCAATCGGTATTGAGTTGCTAAACTAGAAATATAACAACACTGTCTCTAAATGATAGTAAGGAGGAAGTTAGAACCCCTGGAAAAGTTGCTTTTCACATGAAATTAAAAAAAATTAACAAACAACCCTGACCCCACTTTCACAAATTCTCTTACGCAAACTGTTCTAACTACTCCTGTCTCACAAGAAGCTACAGCTACCAGGCTTTTACACAGTCCTACAAAAGAGTTAGGCAAACCATTAAGAACAAAGAAACACAGTAACAAAGTCTTTTGCTTTATCTGTAGATAATCTAATACATCAAATGGCTGTTTTACTGTAAATCAAATACTCAGTATAAGCAAGTCTAATGAAGAATTTTAACAAAGATCCACATTGTCTATTAGGCAGGCTTGAAAAATTGTTTCAGTGAGCCTTAGACTATACTGTTAATACAGCTATCAAAAGCTATGTATTGTTATTGATGAGTTTCAGACAAAATACCACAGATAAACAACACTTTAGTCATCTTACATGACCTGATTCAATGGAAATCACAACTGTAATCTGAATATGTTGTCATTTTGCTAAGATAGGAAAAAAATTCAGAACTAGTATGAATATGAAAAAATACCCTCTTCCGTCATTGTATCCTGAATAGGAGGAAGATGTGTAACCTCTTCTTCTCAAATCTGGTTGAATAATGCTCTGGAAACTGAAAAATAAACCAGGAGTTGGGTGAATTGATTGCTAGATATAGTTTCTGAACTTTTGGATTGCAAGATAGGAAATGGGCTGAAAAACAGTAAGTAGTGTTCAGGAATGAACAGTTTATCTTCTCAAGGTTACTCTTGTGTAATAAATCTTTGCAATACTTCTTCAACATATGAATTAAAAATATCAAGTAATTCCAAATTACAATAAGGCTCAAACCATAAAATATAATTTTTTTCTGGTAAATAAAGTGCAAGAAATGCATAAAGTAAACCTGTAACTGAAATAATGAAAGACTGTTAAGTACATCAAAAGAAATTTTTGTTTGTTAACTGGCTTCAACCTGAGGCCATAAATTTGTGATTACTGCTGTGTGATTATTTTTACATAGTCAGAATCTATTGTCACCAGTAGAAATTTTCCAAATAATATCTTAATTATTTGATCAGCTATTAGAAGCTAGCTGTTTAGCAAAAGTGAATGCTTTTTCTTTTTGCGGTCCTAAAATGGAAGAAATGTAAGAAAACTCATTTGAACTGCCAGTAAGTTAGGATCACTTTTCATTAAATGTACTATAGTGCTTAATAACCAAAGCCACACAGTCATAGTAAAGCATTCATAGATGTGTTGGGAACAGTAGATACGGAGTGGTAAAGAGTAAATCTAACATTTTTACTATTGTGTTATTGACAGCACTGAGCAGCTTCTACCTATGACAAATCTAAAATAAAGCTCATCAAAAGAATTAATTTCTACTTACAACAGAACCACAAAATCTGCTATTGACCAGAAGAAATCTGTTATAGCTGACAAACGCCAAGGAGCCCGACTCTGGTTCTCCAGCACTTGTCCTGTAACATACAAGATATGAAACATCCAGCGATGTTTAGTGTGCGACGCTGCACAGTGTATTACGTAAAAACACACCTGACAGCCTAGCACTGGCAAACAGGATGGAGAAACTACACTTCACGGGCAGCGGTAGCAAGTTTCATTCCCTACAGGGTATCGTCCAGGTACTTGAAATAATCGGACGGCCACCACGAGCAGACACCGTGTCCGGTAAACCTACAAAAAATACCAGTGCACTCCCCGCTTCCCTGAACGTGGTTAAGCTGCGGATCTGTTGCGCTCCCGGTGTCTGTGGAACACACCTGGACTTTTCAAAGTCCTTAAAAACTGTTTAGAAGCACGTAAGGCTCGGATTCGGGCCGCACAGACGCGCATGGATGTGGGGAAGATTTGTCAGCGGCCGAGAGGCGCCGCTCGCTCGG